TACTCAGCATGTAGATAGTACAGTACTTTACTGTAACAAAACATACATATTTATGCTAATTTAAGTCTAGTTCCCTATGCAGTGTTACAACAGAATGATGATTTGTTGACTCTTTATTGGATGTTTGTGGATTTTATGTGGACAGCCATGCAAATGTTTTATGCTATATTTCATGCAAAATTGCTTCTAGACTTAATCTAAAAGCACCTATATTTTACAGATTTTCTGGTGAGGGACATACCCCCACCCCCTTTGCATGCTGATTGTATTTCACACAGTATGTGTTGGCTTTTGATCTTACAAATTAAAACTTTGCTTTCAAACATTCTGCGTATGGGCCTGTATGTAGTAAGTTTACTACCAAAAGTAATTATAATCATAGAGTAACAAGATCCCATAGGTGAAGTTGTGTTGTTATTCAAGTGGGTTTTTAAAAATCTTGATTATAGAAATCTTTTCCATGGGACTTGAATAAACTTAGGAAATTTTATTGCATCCTTGATAGATTATACGACTGTTAAGAATATTTATTTTTCTATACATTTTCATGTTATTCAACAACAGCTGTGGTAGTACCACCATAAATATTATTCAAAATACCCAAGTCTAACAATGTATTTTATTTTTTATGCATTTAATGATTTGTTTCTCTTTTAATTTTGTCTATAGTATAATGAAATTGTGGTACGCAGTGATACTACATGATGTCTGCTATTGTATTTACCATAAGAAGTTTCACAATGTTTACATATCCAGGTGTCTGTAATTTCTGACAGTCACTAAGTTAATTTCATCCTACTTACACATTGTCTTGGGTCATTCACTTGTGGTATCACACATGCTTTCTTTTGGGAAAGATTTCTCTAAGGTTGAACTTCCAGTGTGGAGGTTGACAGGGATATTTTTCACCTCTTTTTGAACCTCACTTATGTTTTGATGGGAATAACCAATATTCACGTGAGTAGTACACGAATAATGAAAAGAATAGCACTGCTGTTTCGTATATATAATGCTATTTTCCTCAATCTGGAATAATTTTTCAAACAGTTCTATATTGTAAAAGATCTAGTCACAGTTCTTCTAATTGACCTAACAGTTATTATTTCCAGTAAAGGCAACGCTTTTGATACCCCTTGTCTTATCTTTAATTGCTTTGTGAGTTGAATAAAGATTGTTACACATTGTGTCCGATCTTTTTTATTCATCAAACTATGTTAAAGTTAAAGAATTCAAAATTTGTTATGTAATACATTTGTGTGTAACCTCCTGTTATTCTCGGAATTACACGGTTACTCTTAAGGGAAATAAGTGCACCTCAGAATACAAAGTGTCAGGTCTTATTCTTTTTTAAAATCAATTTGTTAAAATAACAATTACTGGTAATTTCAACGTGATAGGCATTTTATGCGCACGTGTCAGTAACACCTAGGGTTCAAGTACCACCATCCATAATTTTGAACTACTAACTAGAAGGAATGCAATATGTCAGTAGCACCCGCGTAATTTGTCTGACTATAAACTGAATAACGGGATTGACAGTCACTCTAATAACGCATTAGATAATCCTTTAATCCCAGTAATGATTCTAATAGCCTTTTTCTGAACCCTTTCCAATAAATCAATATATTTTCTATAGTTTTTTTCATTTGTGATTATCAAAACCAATTTTACTCTAAAATAGTAAACAGTTCAACTTGTAAAAGATCTTTAATGCGATGTGAAACTTGGACCTGTAGATCCGCTGTCCGACACGCCCAGTCTATTAACATATATATATATATAATACGTTTGCTTTTAGTAAAACAGTAAAGGACTTCCAAATCATAGTTTTGCATTTCTTAAAATTCTCCATGCCAAATATTTGTTGTCTGTTACATGTGCAGAATCGTTGTGTTGTGAACAGAGTTGGCGTTTTTTCTTATTCAACAATATAAGGAAAATAAAGCAAATATAATAAAATAAAGTAGTATCGTTATCAAATAATTCATTCAAGTGACGTAGGTTAATGTAAAATTAATGTAGAACATGTTGTAATTTAAAAATGATTTTCTTTTCTGGTAAGTTCCTCAATATTTATATATATATATATTTCATAATATTACCAATAGATGGCGGGACTAAAAGATTATTAACATGAATCGAAACAGACGAATTAACCCAACTGAATATTAACAAAAAAGAGATTCTAACTGTCGATACCTTGATTTGCTGGGCTTTATATTCCGCTCTAAATTTGTCGATTAAAGCATAAAGTTACCTATGGGTTAAATGAAATGACAACACATGAAACCGATGGTATAAGTAAAAGGTTTTTAGTATAAAGTGTTTTTTGTTTGAAGTTATGCACAAAGCTACACAATGGGCTATCTGTGCTCTGCCCACCACGGGTATCGAAACCCGGTTTCAAGCGTTGTAAGTCTGCAGACATACCACTGTGCCACTGGGGGGCCAGTATAAAGTGATAGCATATCGTTTGGTTTCCTGTGTATTTTACGCAGAAAATGAGTGATTTCACCAAATCTTTTTTTATCAATTCTGTATATTCAACATGATGCTGCGTGTGGATGCAACCCGTGGTGAAATGCTTGTAAACAAACTGATAATTTGGGCGTTCCATTAATGAATTATAATCTACAGAAAATAGAGGAACATCATGTTCATGTAATAACATATCCATTAAAAAAAAAAGATTGGCCAGTCCAAGAGCCTAATAACACATCCATTAAAAAAAAAAGATTGGCCAGTCCAAGAGCCTAATAACACATCCATTAAAAAAAAAAGATTGGCCAGTCCAAGAGCCTAAGCTTCAAAGTTCAAATTACAAAGCACTGATGTCCTTTATTTAATTTTTTCAAGTGTGGTTATCAAAATTAATGTTATAGTAATAAACTTTTGTGTTGTCCGAAACAGATGAATTGTAATGACAAATGTTACAGAATTATTTGTAGGATTCCAGACGGTAATTTATTTCACTCATGGCCTAGTATCAGTACCGATAAGACACCCACAATGGAATTTCGAAATTTAAGCAGTAACAATATAATGTATAGCAATAAATGCAAATTTTGTTAAGGATAAATTTTTATTTGTATTTTCACTCTTAAACATCGTGTATTTGTTTGTTTGAAACTAAGCACAAAGCTACACAATGGGTTATCTGTGCTCTGCCCACCACGAGTATCGAAACCCGGTTTAAACATCGTGTATGTGACTGCATCCGGT